GGGTGGTCCCCCAAAATTGGTCAAATATCTGTTGGGGATGGTTCAGTAGGGGAAGAAATACCTCGGGTACCCCCTTGTCGCAAAACTGCACCATAGAAGCCCCCTTTAGCCTGCTAGGAAATGACACCTGGAGGCCATTTAGTAATGCTACCACCATTCCACAAGCACATCCTGTCCTCTGTACAGGCCTTCAATCAGTGGAAGGCCCAGGAACAGGAACCCACTCTATTTGATACCCTCTGGAGCTGGCTCCCTAGCCTAGGGGGCTTGGGAGGTGGTATTGTCCGCCTCCTGCTTACTGGTCTCGTACTTTGTTTCCTCACCCTAGCTCTCTTCTCATGCCTGAAATGTTTAATGGTTAAAGTATGTACCACCTCTAGAAGTCAAGACACCTCCTTTTCCCTTTAATCAATGATCCTAAGACCATGGCCTTAAATCACATTTTGTCCACAGAATATGAGAAAACTCAGCCAAAAGCTTGTTGAGTATTCTCAAAGGAGGGAGTTGTTGGTGTCACTAGGCATCACCCTAGGTAACTCGGGGGGTTGGAAGACCCGAGAGTCGATGAAGCCCCCCCGCTCTAGGCCAAAGTGAATCAAAGCCCCTGCATGTTAAACTTTACTAACCTCACAGGCCAGCAGCTGGGAAGCAGTAGTGATAAGGGAAACCTACATGCTTCTAGCTGAAGGACAAGATTGCTTGCAGAAAGAAACAGTGAGAACAAGCTGCACAGCCAAGGTCGTGTAATGTAACCAGAGGGAGAAAGGGGGAGAGGTGGGAATGGAGGAGGGGGGTGAGAAAGGCGGGGGAAGAAGGGAAGGGCTTAGCTGCAAACTGTATAAAAGACAAAGGCTGCTTATGTTGGTGTGCTTGATTTGAGACATGCCTGTCTCCTTGCACCACTTTGAGATCTCAAATAAACTTTGATTACTTCTCCACGCTAGTGTGTTTATTGGCGTGACGCACACCGGGCAACGGACCTCGCTGTTGCTGTCCTCGGGCACTCTGTGCTGGCAACAACGGTGAGCCTTCCGGCCCCAGTGATGATGTGAGTGGTGAGAAGATGCCTGATCTTCCAGTTTGTCAGAGTGCAGGTGATCTGGCAGCTACTGTAGCATCCATATCTCCATCTCAAATGGATGTAACCATGTACATTCCCAGGGGTGAAAGTAACTTTAAGGACTTACTGGTACTGCCAGAGTCCTGAGGGGGGCGTGGCTTCATCTGGAAGAGGCGTGGCCTCAAGCGGAAGAGGCGGGGCCTCTCGAGATTTAAAGGCCTTGGGGCACCGGGCTGGGGCCGGGATTTAAAGGGCTCGGGGCTCCCTGCCTTGCTGGGCTGGAGCCGGGAATTAAAGGGCTCTGGGCTCCCCGCCGCAGGGAGCTCGGAGGAGCCCTTTAAATGCCAGCCCCAAGCCCTGCCGCTGGAGCTGCGGGCGGGGATTTAAAAGGCTCCCAGAGCCCTTTAAATCCCCGCCGCGGAAGCCGGTGCAGTCCGGCACGGCGTACTGGCTCTTGCCGGTACGCCGTACCGGACCGGACCGGCTTACTTTCACCTCTGCACATTCCTCAAGAAAAGTGTAGATCAGAGAAGAGTGTGGTAGAGGCACAAGAAACAGCTGTTGCTGAGTTTAGTTCCTTAAGTCTAGACTGTGGACCCTTGAGCAGTAGCCTGAGGGACTTCCTTGTACTGCATGGGCCACAGCAAGTGAAAAACTTCATGTTCCCCAAAGATAACGAAAATAGAAGTTTCCATCCAACACATTACTGGCGTGAAATTCCCAATGGTGACAAAGTGGAGAGGCCATGGCTTATGTACTCAAAAACCCAGAATGCTGCATACTGTTTTTGTTGCAAACTCTTCCAGTCTAATGTTCCAGCCACATTGGGTTCTACAGGAACAAAAGACTGGAAAAATCTGGCTAGAAATCTGGCATGCCATGAGAAGGCAGTAAATCACAAGAGAGCATTCCATAGGCGGAAAGAGCTTGAGATGAGACTAAGGTTAAAGGCCACCATAGATTATCAGCATCAAGAGAAGATTGCATCAGAGTCTCTTTACTGGCAAAATGTTCTGAAAAGGCTCATTGCCATTGTGAGAATGCTGGCTACCCAAAACCTAGCACTGTGTGGCACTTCAGTTCAGCTGTATGTGCCAAACAATGGAAACTTCCTTAAAATTGTGGAGCTGATGGCTGAGTTTGATGCTGTACTCCAGAAGCGTCTAAGAAGAGTCACCACCCAAGAAATGTACACACATGAGTACCTTGGAAAAACAATTCAAAACGAGATCATAAAGTTACTGGCAACAAAAGTCAAACAGAAGATTGTGGCAGATCTGAAGTCAGCAAAATATTACTCTGTTATTCTGGACTGCACACCTGACATCAGCCATACGGAACAAATGACTTTAATGGTGCGTTTTGTAACAACAACAGAACCTAGTGAAAATGTCCCTGCAATGGTGACTGTCAGAGAGCATTTTCTAGAATTTATTGACATTGATGATACTACAGGAGCTGGTATGACAAATGTGCTTCTTAAAAAGTATCAGGGGGTAGCCGTGTTAGTCTGTATCCACAAAAACAACAAGGAGTCCTGTGGCACCTTAAAGACTAACAGATTTATTTGGGCATAAGCTTTCGTGGGTAAAAAACCTCACTTCTTCAGATGCATGGAGTGAAAGTTACAGATGCAGGCATTATATAATGACACATGAAGAGAAGGGAGTACCTCGCAAGTGGAGAACCAGTGTTGACAGGGCCAATTCAATCAGGGTGGATGTAGTCCACTCCCAATAATAGGTGAGGAGGTGTCAATTCCAGGAGAGGCAAAGCTGGAAGATACGGAAATTGCGATAGCTGACATGAGAGGTCAGGGCTACGATAATGGTGCCAACATGAGAGGAAAGAACAGAGGAGTGCAGACATGGATCTGAGAGTTAAACCCTTGAGCTTTTTTTGTCCCATACAGTTCTCATTCATTGAACTTGGTGGTCAGTGATGCAGCATCAGCTTTAGTGAGGCTGCTGAATTTTTTAATGTAATTCAAAGCATCTATGTATTTTTCTCTGCATCAACTTATCGATGGCAAATTTTGAAGCAACATCTGGGAACATCCTCTCTGACACTGAAACCACTGAGTGCCACATGATGGGAAAGTCAAATGCAGGCAATAAAGCCTATCAAACACCAAACTGGGAAGATAGACAATGCCATAGTTGCCATTAAAGAGGATAATGTTATGACAGGAACTGTTGGTGGGAGAACAGTGGCAGAGGGAAATGGAATCACCAGAAACATACATAACTTCAAATTTCTGTGTGGCTTGGTGTTGTGGCATGACATACTGTTTGAAATAAATGTTGTAAGCAAGAGACTCCAAGGTGTTGACCTTGATATATCTGGAGCAATGGAAAAACTGGACAAAGCAAGGTCATACCTACAGTCTTACTGGTCAGATGAGGGATTTCAAAATGTTCTGAAGAGTGCACAGAAGTTGGCAGAGGAACTTCACACTGAAGCTATTTTCCCACCCATTCAAGAATACAAAAGTCACCGAAGAAGACATTTTGATTACGAGGCATGGGATAATCCCATAAAACACCTCAAACAACATGCGCAATATTGATGCGAGTGATTTAGGTGATGAACTGAAAGCCCTTTCAAGATACATTTCAGCAGGATCAACTCCAAAGGCTGTTCTGGAATATATGTGCACAAATAAGATGACCACCCTCTTTCCAAATGCTTTTGTTGCTCTGTGCATACTTCTAACACTTCGTGTAACAGTTGCTAGTGGAGAACGCACCTTCTCTAAGCTGAAGTTGTTAAAAACACATCTACGCTCCACAATGACACAGGAGAGGCTGGTCGGCCTTGCAACCATCTCAATAGAGCATGAGCTGGCTCAGACTGTGGACCTTCAGGAAGCAGTTCAAATATTTGCAACCAAGAAGGCACAGAAAGCACCACTTTGATTATTCAAACAGATAAAAATGCCAGTGTGTACTATGCAGACAAGAAAAGTTACATTTTCTGTTCAGGCGTTTGAAAGTTAAGTGTTACTTAAAATTTTTGAACAAGGCATTTTAAGTTGTTAGTTCTCCTTTACTGGGGTAGGTAGCAGAGCAGTACCATGAGAGGAGTAGCACAGGAAGAAGGCAGAATTGAGACCTTTCAAAGTTTTGGCCCAAGTGAGGGGGCATGGGGGCGTCATTTGAGCTCCCTGCCTCTGGTGCCAATATGTTGTGGGCCGGCCCTGCGCAGTTCCAACTTTCACAAGTAAACAGCACAGCTGCTCTCTGCTCTTTGAATTATCTGCTTCCGTCCCCACTGGGAAATCATTTTAACAGACATTTCCCCTTCCCAAGTCTTCCGACACGTGCAAATTTCTACATAAAGTTCACAGTTCTTCAGGCGAGAAAACCCTCTGGGTGGGATTTTCACAGCAGCCTTATAGGTTTGCACACTCAGTGCCCATTAATTTAAACAAAAATTGAGTATTCAGACCCATTAGGCAGCTTTGAAAACCCCAGCTCCCTATAAACTCACAGATCACCAAAGGCCAGTTTATGCCCTTTGTGACCAGAGAAAAAACTACAGTTGAGTACTTATACTACAATAGAGAGTTCATTGCCCTGTTCCTGTAGCAGGATCACAGGCTGAGCATATCTTAGTGTAGCTAAGGTAATTGCTAACCTGTCCATTTGCACAGACACTACTTCGCCCATCCACAGCTCCTACTTGGAAGCACAGATTAGGGGGCAGAATTGGGCTGTAACAAACCCCTCTCTTCTCCTACTTTGCTTTCTGTTTTTCCTGCAAGCAGCCAAGTTCCATATGTCGGAGCTCCAAGCCCAGCTCACTGAGCCCTATATGAGTGTTTCAAACTGAGCCATGCTGATTCACATGGAATAGTTTAGACTCACATTTGACTGGGATCCCTGAGTGAGATCTGACGGGGTGAAACCACTTGACACTTCTCGGTTCACATGTGAAGTCATAATTTATTCAGCTCCCCCTCCACCCGGCTCCCATTGCCTGAAACTCCTCCAAACATTGAATCATAGCCTCTTAATCTCTGTATCTCTAATTTTGGTTTTGGTTTTGGTCTCTCTCTCTCTCTCACCAAGTTCCCCCCTCTCATTACTTCACCTTTCGCTCTGTGTTGCCTCCAGAAGCAGTAACTGGCCAGGCCAATGAGAACAGCCAGAAGAGCCAGGATCACACCCAGAGCCACCATCCAGGGATTGGCCCTCGGGAAAAACAGCTCTGCAAGAGAAAGTGCCATTGACTTGGGAGCAAACGCGCAGAATGAAGGCAGGACACTGTGACAGTGGTAACTCTGTGACTAGTTAAAAGACTCTCACAGGGAAATACACAGTGAGATGTGGCTCCTTTGTGCTTTATTATTAAACCAATGAAAGTCCAAGCCTGGTTACTGAACATGGTTAATTAATGGGAGGGGGTTGGGTGGACTCTGCTATGCTACACCTACCTCCCACTGGCATAAGTTCAAGCAGTCCCTAGGCCAGGGGTAGTCAATAGGTGGACTGTGGGCCAAATCTAGACTACAGGATGCTTTTGAATGGACCCTGGAATCTTTTTATTTAATTATCATTGTTTTTTATTATTATTATTTTCTCTTGTGTCTGGACCTTGACTATACCTTGACCAAGAAATCTGGACCTTGACAAAAAATAATTGACTACCCCTGCCCTAGGCTGCTCTAAGTGATCCCAAGGCTGCATCCAGTGCAGACTGGCCCTCAGAATCGGAGGGTTGTGACCAGCTGCCTCACACCCCTGACTCTACTGTGCTCACTGGGGTTCAGTTACACAAGAGAGTCTAACCCAACATATGTTAATGCAGAATTTTAATAAAAACCAAACTTGAGACTGGAAATTCAGAGTAAAAATTCCTCCAGAGTCCTGGGCCTTGGAGCAATGGCTGACTAGAGGATCCTTGTTAAGTGACTGGTGTATTGAAAACTGTGTAAAAATTATGAGCTGACACTTTAAAGACAGAGGAGTTTCTTGGTGCTACTTGCAGGCTAGGGGGCTCTGTGGGGAGCGTGCATCTAGGTCCTCTGAAGTGAAGCTTGGAGGTTGCAGCATAACATGACTTTATTTCTTAGAATCCAGAATATTAACACACAAGAACCCACAACAGAGAGAGGGGCTGCTCCCTAAGGCAGCGGGCACAACTCACCTCACCCTGCTTTATCTTGGCTCGTCTATAGGAACAGTTAGTGCGCGGCAGGCTGGGGTGTAAATCTACCTTGCACTAGCTTGCTGCACACTAACAGGCTGTGTGGATCCTGCTGCACCACACTAAAAGTTCCCTGGTGCACTCTGAACTGTTCCCATTTCAAAGCAGGACAGATCAAAGCGCACTATGGAATTGTTAGTGCATGTAGCAGGGTCCACACAGACAGTGTGCACCAGGCTAGAGTGAGGCAGATTTACACCTTGCCACAAACTAACTGTTCCTGTAGACAAACTCTGATTCTGCTCACTTTGCTGCAGAGCCCACTAGCCTGCAAACAGGACCTGGAAAACCTGCACCCCAACCCCCACTCTTAAATTGGTAGTGACAGCTTGCAGTTCCAACACAGTCCTCACTACAGCACAAGAACAAAGGAGAATTCCATCCTCCCCCCGCCCACATCCCCAGTTGAGAAGAACGATGTTTGCTGGGTGCTGAGCTCTTATGAAAATCTGGCCAATCGGGTCCCAGCTTGTAAGGTACTAAACACCTAAAGCTTCTACTGGAATCAAAGAGACGTGAGAGGTTGCTCAGGACTTTCCAAGACGTGCTCAGCACGTTGAAGATCCAGGACAATAAATAAATAGGAGACACAATGATAAATACTCTCCACCCATGTCTGCAGCGTCTCGGTCTATCCATGTGTGGCTGGAACGGACACTGACCTGCTATGGAAATCGCTGACTCTCTCTCCTGGTTGAGTCGGGGGTTCCTGACAGAGCAGGACACTTTCTGGTTGGACTCTTCTGTTAGAACAATAGCAACCTCTGTTTGAAACAGGCCATCGGCCTCAGGGGATATTTTTTCAGAGGCTGATGGTAAGAGCTGCCCCTGGAGATCTCTCCACTGAGCCTTGGGCTCTGGGTACCATCCGGCTGATCGACACGCAACCCGGATCCCTCCGTCCTGATGTCCCTCCACAGAGATGGCAGGAGCAGAGCCCAAACCTACAGATGAAATAAATGAACTTGTGATAATCCTGCAGTGCCCAGTAGAGAGCCAAAAGCTTTATTACACTTATCAAAAGACATTTCCTATTAAACTAATAATCGAATGTGAGTCCACGAGTGTGGCTGGTCAGTTAAGCTGGTCAGATTCCCATATTAATATACAGCAAGTAAAGTTAATGTTATGTCAGGGCTGTTCTATGCACAGATTTGCTCCAGTTTAGTTAAAGTGATTTGGTTAAACCAGTGCACACGCCTGTGTGGACATTCTTAAATTAAGAAGGAATCGACTCAAGCTCAATTAATATAAGCCATTTCCAAACCATTTAAAAGTGTCCATATAGGGTTTTGCACTACTTCATTGTAACCAGTGCACGTGTATGTATAGACAAACCTTCAATTGGTTCACTACCAACAAACTTTGTTACTAGGGAGTTCAGGTTGCCTCGGCTGTGCCTTGTACCCTTCCAGAGCACAGAAGTTGGTAGCAGAAAACTGGACTCCTCTGAGAGACAAGAAACACACCCACACTCACACCCACAAAATACACACATTAGATAACACAGAAATGCAGGGTTAAGGTGATGCCTTCTGCCCCAGATCACACTTTTACTGATGAGCTAAACTGATCTTAATCTGAAATAAGGCTTCAATTTACCCAAAGGTGTGAATTCAAACGCATTTAGTTATTTTGGTTGCAGCTGGTGTGCACAGAAGGCCTTACACTGTTTGGAAATTTCACACAGAAGATCTTCCACGGAGAGGTAGAGAAGGGATGTATGTCTGGAGCCTTCCCTGCTCAGGAGTCTCTCTTTTAAACTTTATTTTTATTGTTTTTATATAAAATGTAAACACATAATGAACAAAACTTATATGCACAAACAACGCAAAAACATGCACTAGATCAGTGGTTCTCAAACTATTGTACTGGTGACCCCTGTCACATAGCAAGCCTCTGAGTGCGACACCCCTTATAAATTAAAAACACTTGTTTATATATTTAACACCATTATAAATGCTGGAGGCAAAGTGGAGTTTGGGGTGGAGGCTGACAGCTCGTGACCACCCAGGTAATAACCTCGCAATCCTCTGAGGGATCCCAACCTCCAGTTTGAGAACCCCTGCACTAGTATATAAATAACAAAATACTACATTCATTATTTGCAAAACCTGGGGAAAAACAAAAACAAACCAAAAAAAAAAAAATTTTTGAACCCATAGAGGTCATGCAGGGCATCAATTATGAAAGTGACTTGTAGCGAGGGGGCGTGGCCTCCCTCCAGGCCCTGGTGGGCGGAGCCTGGAAAGACACACCCACCCTGCCAGAAGCAGAGGGGCCGGACAGGAAGTTTAAAAGGTGGGCGCTGCAGCTCAGTTGGGCTGGAGATGGTGAAGGAGACAGATGCCTCCCACCCACTGCTGGGTCTTGCACCCACGAGGAACCTCTGCAGCACTGAGGACTCGCAGGGGCTGCCAGAGATATAAACCAACAAGGACACAGAAGAGCTGCTGGGACTGCCACTAGATGTGTAACCCTGGGGAGAGGGAGGACACCCCACAAGATAAAGGTGCACGACAAGGGGATCATAGGAAGTAGCGCAGGGACACCAGACAATAGTTGGTGATGGTACAAGAGTGCTGATCAGTGTGTTGTGGTGGGATCCCCAGTGATCGAGCCCTCTGCCACTGCTAAGGCCTGGGTTGGGATGCAGTGGAGTAGGGTCCCGGGTCCCTCTACCCCCTGCGGCTGCCCCACCCCTGGGGTGGCCACCTACTCACCTCAGGCCAAGAGGCCTGCGTTTGTCTGCCACCTGCCTGAGCCATGTCGTCAGGTGATAGACTGTTCAGTGCTCCTCCCTGCCTAAGTGCCCGAGCTCCCTAGACTGTCTGGTTCTCTGCCCTGCCCAGAGGGCCTGAGCTCCAGCGACTGCTAATTCCCCACTAAGGATTGCCTTTACAGAAATGTGGTAGCAAGGGGGTGTGGCCTCATTCCAAGGCTGATGGGGAGGGACGGCCACCAATGCCTACATGACTAAACTGATAAATAAGTGAGACTGTAAGAGTATCGGGCACTAATATATACTAAACTGCATCTTCAGGAACACTGGCCTGTACGGAAAGCTGAAAACAGGGACTTTCTTTCCAGACCAGATGATTCCAGTGGGGGATGTTGAAATGTCCATAGTGATCCTGGGAGTCCCAGACTACCCCTTACTGCCATGACTCATGAAATCTTACATGGGAAACCTGGACAGCCTCAAGCAGTGCTTCAACAATAGGGTTAGATGGGGAGGTGAGCACACATATGCTCTGACTGAAGTGTGATTAGGGACTTCAGCATCTCTGTTTGCTCCTCCATCACTTTAATCATTTGCTCCTGTCCCTTTAGAATGTGCTCCTCACGGTTTCGGTCTTGTCTTTCCTTTTCTCTCCACTTCCTGCATTCTCTTTTCTCCGCCTCTGAGGATTGGAGCACTTCTTGGTACATGTTCTCCATGCTATGCCTTGGTCACTTCCTTAGCTGGCAAAGGTGCTTGGCCAGTATGTAGGGAGTTCTCCAGAAGGCAACATTTGCATTAGCACAAGAAACAGTACACAGAAGCATCATTGTTAGTTCACACTCAGCATTCAATCCTTACGGAAAAATTCACCTCTTGTAACAGTTGAAAAATGCAACGAAACACAGTCTGAAGCTCATGGAATGCTGGGATGGAAAAATGCATCATGGGATGTTGAAGCCACACCCATGATGCACTGCGATCCACTCCGCCTTTCCACAACTCCTAACTGCAGATGGTGGCGAATAGCACAATGAGATAGCTACCCACAGTGCACTGCTCTCACTGTCGATGCTAGAGCACCAATTGTGGATGTGCTCTGCCGACAGAGGCAGTATAGTGTGAACATGCACTATCAATGTTATAGTGCTTTTTGATTGTTGGCATAACTTTTGTCGACAACACTTGGCAGGGTATACAAGGCCTACTTCAATGTGAGTGGATTTTTTGTTTTTTATTTTCTTTGTTTTTCTTTATTGAGCTGTAATCTGCACCCAGCAAATAATTTGAAAAGAAAATAAATTACACATGCAAACACTTGCTGGGAGAGGTGATGGGGGTGGTAGGGGAGATGGGAACAGGGGAAAAGGGGTTGGGTCTGCAGCAAGGAATGTGGATATTATGGGGAGGGGGAGAAATGGGAATGGGTGGGAGGGGAGAAAAAAGGGTTGGGGCCTCCTCAGGTAAGGGGAAGGAGTGGAATGGGAGGGATTTGATATGGTGAGGGGTGGCAGTAAAAGTCCTAGGTTTAGGGGCAGGGAGTCCTGTCAGCCCCAAATTCTCCCTTTTCCCATGATGGGATCTGGGGGGGAGCCCTACCCCTCTGCAGGGCTCTGAGGTCCTTTTTCCGCCCCCTGTATATCCTAGAATCTGGGAGACCCTGCCACTCTTGGGAGTGTCTAAATCCTCATGTAATCTGTGATCAAGGGGATGTAGGATGGGGGGCTGAATGTGGTGAAAATGTAAACACCTAAAATGCAGGAAATGAATAGTTAAAATACATATCATGCCTGTGTGGGGTTGGCAGAGTGTGTGGGGGAGGGGGAATTGGATTGGGTGGGCCTGCAACATGGCTGGGGAAGTGTGGCTGGAACAGGGCCGGGGGGCCCAGCTCAGCATAGTTGTTGGGGTAAGAAGACCAGCTCAGGCTATATAATCGAGGTACTGTGTGGCCTGTCAGTAAGCTGCTGCCTGTCATGTGTGCAGCCAGAAATGCAGGCCTCTCACATGCTTAAATTACCCGCTGTGTAATAAAACTGTCAAGGTGTTGGGACGGAGACCTGGGATGAGACTTCTCTCACCAGCCCTGTTACGAGCTACACACTGCGAACATTGCTAAGAACGACCATTATCCCCATTGCACTATTACAGAAGATACAGGGGGGACGGGCAGTGAGCAACCATGGAGCAACTGAGTGGCCTAACAGAGAGTTCCCAAGACTGGGATTATTCCTCGCTCTGCCACTGAGCTGCTGGATGAGCTTGGGCAACTCACATCTCTGCTCTGTGTCTCAGTTTCCCATCTGTAAAATGGGGATAATGATGTAAAGTTCTTTCAGGTCTACTAATGGAAAAGCACTATACTATACTTTTGATTATTACTTAGGCACAGTCGTGTAGCAACTGCAAACTTAGGTGAGAACTACAACCACGTAAATGGCCACTAGCTCCTACAACAAACGTTTCCCTTTCTGTTAAAAAAACAAAAACAAAAAAACAACACCTAGAAAATTCACTGACAAAACCTTCGTTAGCACAGAGTTCAGGCTGCCTGGTGATATTATCTCCTGCCCTTCCACAGCACAGTGACAGCTCTGAGACCCTGTCCCCACTACTCTCTCCACTGATCAGTACAGCTACACTGAACACAGGGAATGCAGCTGCAGTGCAGGCAGATACATGCTGCAATTCAAATCTGTGGAACACAACACAAACAATGCCCCCTTCCTGTAATCCTTCCTCATGTCTATTCACTGACAAAAAACTTTGTTACCTCCAGACAACCCTAACTCTGTGTTATCTCCTGCCCTTCCAGAATGCCTTGTTCAGCAAAACTTGGACCTCTAAAACCAGGAAATCCATAGGGAAGGGAAAAACCCAAACAAGCTTAACTCTTCCCCTTTGGAGATGGCAATAACCACTGGGAATTGTCTGCATGCACTAAAACTGCATGCACTGTACTTGGTGTAGCTGTAACGACTAGTGGAGGGGATTATTTGGAGCATATTAGCAGAGCTGTCACTGTGATATGCGGAGAGGTGCAGGTGTACCTTGAGGGATCAATCATGCCTCATTTCAGTGCTGAGTTGTGCCAATTGTGTCAGTAGCAGGGCACAGACTCCTTGCCATGGGGATTGTCAGCAGCCTGGTGTCAGATATGCCAGTGATCTACAGGGCTTGGTGAGGGGTAAGTGAAGGCAACGTCCCAGAAGGAATCCTCAGGGCAAGGGAGATGAGGTGATAACATTTTGCAAGTCAGGGGTGGTTTGTGTGGAGCAGGCTCAGTGTTTGAATGGAGACCAGGAGTTCGCTACACCTGACCTAAACCTCATGTCATGGTTACAGAACTAGCTGCACCTGTGTCCCCTTGCTGGTCTCTCTGGCAGCACCTTCATGGGTCAGGCCTCCTGCCTCTACATGTGCTGGGGATGGGGAATTCCTCAATTCTCCCATTCTTAGACCAGGCTCTGGGCTATAGGGCCCTGTGTATCAACCACTGTTACCCTGAAGGGGTCAGACACGAGCCGAGATCAATCCCAGCTGGTGGCATCAGTTTGGGGAGGACCAGAGTCATTGTTCAGCCCCAGGTGTGCACAGAATAGTTGCAACTGGGCACAACATGTTAATTTCACTTAATTGTTTAGAGGTGTTCGTGCATCTCATTAATTCCTTGCTCTAAAGACCTCAACTATGGGCCACTAACCCGACCCTAGACTCCAATGAGTCGCAGCAATTTTCAAGACAATCTGAGTATGCATCTGAGTTTTAGAGAACTTAGAAAAAGATGGATATTAAACAGCAAACTAGAATCAACCTTATCCAGAGCACAGCTACTGCCCCACTATAATAAAAAAAAATTGTGTAATCTCACAATGAACCTTCTGACTCCACTTATTACCCTGTTGAAGACATTAAAACATCAGAACAAGTTACTGACCTGCCACCTGCAGTTCCAATATAGCATCTTCATAAGAGATACTGGACTGAAAAAAAAAACACACGTACTGCCCATCGTCGGAGGGTCGGACATTGCGTATTCTCAGGGAAACGCTCCCATTGGTGATGTCGTCTTTCAAAAGCTCAGTTCTTCCTCGATATTCTGGCATCTGCTCTCCGTACTGATCCTGCCCATCACGGTACAGGTGCACAGCTGGAGAGAACTTGGATCGGAACCATCTCAGCTCCATGTCCTCCGCGCTTATCCTGGGGAAGAGGTGGCAGGGCAGGATGGCCTCCCCCCCTATGGAGGCAGTGATTGGACGGTTAGGTCCAGTCACTGTGAACTGTGCTGTGAAATGTACAATGAAAAAAGGAAATTAAATCTGCGAGGGGCTAGAAATGGCATTAATTCAGCAGTAAGACACACAGTAAGTGAGCACCCTATGTTAGAAGTGAGAGACCATTTAAAGACAAAAGCCTGACAGAGCAAATTTATCATAAACCAATCAAAGGTCTGAACACATGTTACTATACCAAAGGATTCTCATCTGGCACATGGGACTCTTTGGTAGGTTCCAAAGTCTTTCAAACCTTTCTCTAAGGGTTTGTCCTCTTGGTTAACAGATCCTGTCAATTTGCAGCCCAAGATCTCGGGCCTCTGGTCAGTTCAAATCCAGCTTTTATACCAAAAATCTTTGTTCTCTTGGGCTTCTGGGACCTCGTCTAACCCAGTTTATGCAATTCTCCCTAGGGGTGGTACTTCTCTGGAACTATTACCTGTCCTACAAGTAATTATCCCCCATGGCTTGAAAATTCCGAAAGAGATGGGGTAACCCTCCCCCATGGCATAGATTACAATCCCAAACCCACAAAGACACATATAACACGTACATATATTATTGATAAAGGGGGTACAAAAATAAACAGAACATTCATAAAGTGAATTTGATAGTTCCCAAAATACCACATGTGGCTGCAATATCTGTCACACAGAGTTCACATGAGTGTTATACATTGTTCCTATGATCTCTGAATAGGGTTCTAACTTCTCATGGACACCCTGGGGATATTGATACTGGGGGCCTGGTTCTCTCATACACCAAGGCCTTTTCGTGCTGCTACAGCATAGGGGCCTCCTCATCTGCAGGAGGGGTGGTGTAAAGGCTGACAAGGTGTAAAGATATGAAAATAGATCATCACTATGCCGACAATGGCTATAAAGGTAAAGTCAGAGGTCAGATAATGGAGAGGGAGAAGGAGGCAGATAGAACAGTGCAAGAAACAGAGAATCGGTCACTGTGGAGCTGCACAGGATGTCGGAGTCTCGGTGCAGAGACTCAGCATCAGGAGAGACGGACAGAGCTCGTTAAATTAACAGGATGGAAACCACAGCAAGAGGGAACCAAAATGGCCAAGTAACTGAGGAGCCAGCCCAGGGGTGGAGTGGGTCACTATCAGGGCTTCACTGAAGGCACAGAATGAAGAAGCCAACAAATATCTTCACAGCCTTACTGTGCGATGAGGTCTAGCTCTGAGCCCTAGTCAGATGTGCCTAGTGCAGCATGAATGACTTCTGGGTTGTTATGTCTAAACTGGAGAGCCTAGGATTTAGGACTCCTTCATGGCTGAAGAGTCTGATTTGTGATGTATTCGATCTGTCAGTGAAGTGTATAGGAATTGGATAGTGTCCTTTTTAAATAGTTTGCGAGCCCTGTAGTGGTGCTCACTGTGTTCTGTATTTTAGAAGTTGCCAGAAATCAGTAGGATGGATGTAGTGTCAAGGCCTGACAAGATGGTGTATAGATAGTAACCATGGTTACTGGGGACCCAGGTATACCCTGTGATTTCTCCATGTTGCTGGTTGTTGGCAGGTTGATCAGACATGATTTACAAGACAAGGCAGTGATACAAGGTGGATGGTGATGACCAGCAACAGCAGCAAACCCAGCAAACCCAGTGAGGAGACCGGAGCTCCTACCTGATGCCAGTCTGTGAACCAGTAGAGTGAGGCAGAGAGCGACGTAGCTGGGCAGAGCGGAGCTCACTGTGGAGCCGGGGGAGAATGAGGGAACCTTCCCCGTCATCGTAGCTTGGTCTAAGGAACGGGAGAAACAACAAACCAGACGGTGAGTGAGTGGCACGCAGTGACAGTGCCAGTGCCAGGTTGTCTGACTTTCATAGTCCTGGTCCATTGGTCAGTTATGTTTACATTAGCGCACTTCCCAGTATTCATAGACTAAGGTCAGAGGGGACCATTGGATCATCTAGTCTGATCTGTACTGAGCCCAAACTGGTATTTGACTAAAGCATCCTCCAGAAAGTCACCAAGTCTTTATCTGAAGAGAGCAAGAGATGGACAATTCACCAGTTCCCTTGGCAGTTTGTTCCAGTGATTAACCACCCTCATGGTTACAATTCTGTGCCTTAATTCTAATTAGAATTTGTCCAACTTTAACTTCCACCCATTGGTTCTTGTTATGGCTTTCACCACTGTATTAAAGAGCCGTTTAGTCCCATGTATTTTCTTCATGAAGGTGTGACAGGTGGGGAATTTTACTGAAATATTTTTATGAATTATCGGTAGGACTCTGTACCGATCCCCTTGGCATCGCTTCGTTACTGCTTTGGGGGAAAGAATTGCTTCTCTCGCTGGGACATGGCCGAACAGGCTAGGTGTCTGAGATGTAGAGCCACTCGGACTGTCTGGGTTGGAATCAACCCATATCAATGGAGGATTTTGAAAAGACAATGGGAAGCCTCAACGATTAAGCAACAACTCCTACACCAAGTTTCTTCCCCCCACCTCTCTACAGGGAAGAGGAGCAATAGCCGGGAGCTGGAGCACAAAGGGCGAAGGTGCCAGGTGTATGTGTTAAAGGACTGGGCTGACAGAGACACAGGGACTCACTTGGGACTGAGAGACAAAAAAGGGACAGGGAGAGAGGGAGCCAAGCTGGACCCTCCAGCAGCACGGCTCGGCAGAGCCCCAGCTCTGGCCAGGCTGAACCCTCTCTTAAACTTTGCTTCTCTGTGCTGACCTAAGGACTTTCAGACTCCATAGGCCAGGTGACTAAGGGTATGTCTACACTACGAGAGTAGTTCGATTTTACTTAAATCGAATATGTGGAATCGATATTACAAAGTCGAACGGGTGTGTCCACACTAAGGACAGTAATTCGACTTTGTGAGTCCATACTAACGGGGCAAGCGTCGACATTGGAAGCGGTGCACTGTGGGCAGCTATCCCACAGTTCCCGCAGTCCCTGCTGCCCATTGGAATTCTGGGTCGATCCCCCAATGCCTTCTGGGGAAAAAAATGTGTCGAGGGTGGTTTTGGGTAACTGTCATCATCCAACCGTCACTCCCGCCCTCCCTCCCTGAAAGCGCCGGCGGGAAATCAGTTCGCGCACTTTTCTGGTCAGTGACAGCGCGGACGCCACAGCACTGCGAGCATGGAGCCCGCTGCGACCATCGCTGCAGTTATGGCCATTGTCAACACCTCGCACCTTATCATCCACCTTTCCCAGAGGCAGATGCTGAGAAATCGGGCGAGGAGGTTACGGCAGCGCGGTGAGGACCTGAAGTCTGAGAGTGGCACAGACCTGTCACAAAGCACGGGAACCCGCGCCGAGGACATCATGGTGCCAATGGGTCATGTTGATGTTGTGGAACGGCGATTCTGGGCCCGGGAA